CAGATACTTAAGACTTTACTATAAATACTAATATAGATATACTGGATTATTTTATTATGTGTGATGTATTAGAAAAATGCTATAATTATTGTATATTTGGTTAAAAGTAAATTGGATTCAATAGATTTCAACTTTGTAATGATGCAGTGAGAGGTAACTAACCAACTTGAAATATAACATTTTCCACAAACACATTTAGTGGTATTTTTTGAGATCCTAAACAGATTATTGGTATAGTTTCAGTTAAAAGCCCTAAAATTATTGACAGCAACATATATTTATGTTTTATTATTTATTTACGTATTATTATCTTTCATAAAAACAGAAATAGCTGACTTTGGCAGTCAGGATAGTAGCGTAATTCAGTACACATCAATAAATTGAAATATACCTTAAATCAGCAATAATATTATAAATGTTGTTCAGCTGTCTCTCTGTATTTAACTTGACAGCTGTATGGTTTGATCATTCATAATGAACAGAAAGCTGCACATTATAAGTATAGAGAGGGGGATCACTCACTCGCTCACTTAAAATAAAACATTTCTGAATGGAGCTGGATTTCTTGTGGAAAACAGTATGTTTCAGGAATGTATCTTTAAAGTTGTCATTTAAGTTCATTTCTACGGTTGTATTTGAATCTTAGGAATATTATGCAAATTTTGTGATGGTTAGAATTTGTACGTATTATAAGAAATATACAATAAATTTTAAGTTTTCAATGATTTTGTCTTCCCATCGGTTTGTTTGTGTGTGAATCCATTAGAAATTACTGTGGACTCCATGCGGTAATTGAAAACACAAACAAATACAGACAACTATGTCTTTCATTTCACACATGTTCATACCATTAAACATTTAAAATAATAACCAAAAGAACAAAATTAATGTACAATGAGGAAAAACTGAAAGCACCTAGCAAGTGTGAAATCACTCACAAAGCAGGGACGTGCACTGATAATAACAAAAGATTATAAAAACGTGTATGTGTATATTTCTGACACGTCGGGCGCCACTCAGGTATTGAATTTCAAACTTAGTGCCGTACTTATACTATAAATAAGCTGAACGTGCTAACCAATGACCAATAACAGTATACAATGACGCCAGTATCTTTTAAGGCAATATGCAATAAAATCTTACGTATTAATGCTGTTCATCTAAGCCCCTGCTCGTGAGTGATTTCCCACTCGCTACATACCGACATCCCTGGTTGTAGAACTTCATAGGAATAATGTCTAAAATGCAACTTTAATTAACCGCTACTAACAAACAATTAAGTTCCGGTAGATTGTATACTGGTATACACTGCTCCAATTAGTATAATACGAGTCGCCATAACAACCATCAACTGTAATACCATTAATTTTACAATCCGGTTCAATCTAATCCAATTAATTTGTCCTTTACTTAAACTAAAATGTTATCCTCGATCAAAAATCCTGATTTAAAAATGGTAGTGAAATAGGCTAATCATAAGAAAGCTTGCACCTGTCTTATTTCTCATAAAAACAAAAATAAAACTATACTTCAATAATATGTGAAAGGCAGTCACAATCTTGATAGAAGTATAGTATAATAAGGCTATTACGAGGATACCTCAAAGTATGCACAAAGACAGTACAGCACGAGTATCAACCGACACACAGCGGAGGCCGATGCAACAGCATACTGTCTTCGTACATACTTAGAGGTATTTTCATAATAACGTTATTATTATACATTTTTTTTCCTTCCAAGGATACATCATGGGAATGCCAAAAAGTTTAGTACAGAATAGCAAACTTCTTTGTGTGGGAGTCCGGTCAAACCCCAATGGCAGCCATATTTGTTTTTTATTATTAGAGGACGCTTACGTGTGTGATCATTCCATATTTAGAAATTGCATTTCCTTATATGGTAGGTCGAAAATACCACGTAAAATTCTACAAAATTATCTTTTGCCGTTACAGTGACAGAAGTATAATAATATTTGTTATCAACGTACAATCTTGTGATGCTTAAAGCCAGGGGTTGTACATGAACATTGTAAACAGCAGGCTATTTGAAAGGGAGCCACGCAACCGCAACGAACTTTAAAACATCAAGTGAAAGCCTTTTCCCTAGTGCACAAGAACATCACTCATAAATAATTTGTTTAGCTATCGAAAATGCATGACAATTGAGTTTCATCAACAAATACCAGCATGACCGTTTAGAGTCTGCAATTGTCTTGACCTTAAATACAAATTCTGAACCACCATACATACCTCAGATTTTCTGGGGGAATTGTTCAAACATTTGAAGACAGGCCAATTATCAGTTTTCTGAGCCAAATTATTCAAAACCAACTTGGAAGAAATTGATTTGAAGCAATGTGTTCTATGTGTTTGCAAAGCATCATGGGACAATTAACAAGGGAATCCAAAATTAAGCATTCTGGTATACCAAGCACTCATCTTTTACAAACAAATAACTACAAGCATGTTTAATAGAAAATAATTTATTGAGTACTCAAGACTCCAATGAAAGAAAAGAATCAAAAAAATGTATCTTGATTTAGCCCACACCCCCAATAAACATGAACCTTGTGGAAGTTTCCATTAGGCCATTCTGATATTGTAAACGAGGGTGCAGGCCAGACTCTAAAGACGATGAAAAAATAACAGTTTTGAATGCAGAAATGTACAGACAGGTAAAGTGGCGATAATGCCACGTCAAGAAACTAGAATGTTTTTTTTTTCTCTCTTCACCCTGCAATACTAACAGTTGTGGCAATATATGATATGATATGATATAACAGCTCAGGCACAGGATATCTGACAATTTGGTAATGTTTCCATGGAAACGGAATACTGGTTTTTAAATTGCCACAGCTGTTAGGTTGCACAGAACAAATGTATATAATCAAATATATATATATATAATATTTTTGTACTTTTTTTTTAGTCAAGTTTTGTCATTTTTATGTTTTGTACATATTTATACAGAATATAAGATATGAATTCATCTTAAATGCATCAACTTCTTCAAAGATAAATTGTATATTTTTTTTTAAGATATGAACAATTGTACAGAATGTATATACACACTATCTTCCACTCATGGTGCTAGTAATAGTACAACAAATTATGGAAGTCTGGATTTTTTTTCCCCTCACAATTTCGTCTTTCGACAACTTCTAATACCCCTCCCGAAAACCAAAAAAATGGCAGTTTCCTGTGTGTTTTTTTTAGCAGCGTACCCGCAAGCGACTTTTGGCATCAAGGTGACAGCAACCATTTATTTCATGTTGCATGTCCCGCCTCCCTCCTTTGTAATTGAATGTTAGACTATTTTGCAAAACAAAAGGTTTACAATTAAAAATGCAATAAAACTGCACAACATTTTAGTTGAACTGCAGAGCCTCACCCAGCTCAAAAAATTAGGATACTAACAAGATGAGGTAAACTCGTAAATTAACCCTTATCTGCTCAAGTCAATGTAAAAGTACAAGAGCTGGCAGAATAACGATTAATCTTGTACATTACCCTATTTGCTCTGTTAGTAGTGTATGCGATAACGGAAACGACTACACAGGCTTGTCAAAGGTCATAACAAATCATAATATTCAAATAATCCAGTATGCAATAACTGAAATGTTCGATTTATATCCACGTCTATTGCAGATGCGCTTCTAATAGAGCAAATACGGTAGCTATGGTACAAAGACCTACACACAGGTAGAATACAGCTTGTAACACAGACCTGTGACGTACATTAAAATACAGTTTCCTAAAGTGCCATTTCGTAAAGGCACATCTATATAAAGTATCATTACAGACAGATGTTGACAGTACTTCAAACGAGTCTTTTGTCAAATTGTTTGCTCATTGTTAACAATTGAAATATGACAAACTGGCATGATACAGACATCCACTTATATATAAAAAAAAAAATACCCCCATTTTAATAGCCCGATGATTTAAAAAGTAATTTTGACTTGCCCATATGTCAAAGTAACGTTTTTTAAAATATTAGACGATGTGGCAGTAATTTAGCATTACTAAATGCATGGGCAATCAAGATTGGAATTTGATGTCATACAATTAGGAAATTCCAAACCTAAATTTAAACATGTTCTAACCATACTTCACTATGATCATAAACATTTATAAATAATTTAGCTCACTAAAACACTCCGTCCCACTGACCCACCAAAAAAAATCCCAAATAAATTTCCAACACATGGAAATATACGAGTGTGATAAAGATCAATAGATTATGTAACCGAATTTGCATGCAGAAGAAACCTACATCTTTTATACACAATACAAGGTGATCTAACCCCCTTCTTTTTTTATTTATATTTTGGAAAGAGACAAACACCCAGCAACTAGTCAAGGCAACCAACTACAACCCAAACACATTTATAGATGCATGTTTTACCCAGTTTGTTATTAATCCATGTAAATACTAAACCAAAATTACCTTTTTGGCACCAACGCATTACAATATTTCATGTAACATGGTATGCATATAGCAACAGCAAGAAAGTAGCTGGTATTTTATAGCCACCCAGACATGGATTTTAAGGTGTCTAGGTGCTGTTTGCATATACATAGCATGAACATTATAAAAGTTGTGTTTACTTGAGACAACAAAGGTCATTTTGGCTTACTAGACTAATTAAAAATTATAAAATAAATTTGAGAAAAAAAACAGCACTGCTTTTTTTTTCTTTTACATTAATCAGTTTCAAAACAAATTTAAAACACTTGTCACATGACAAGGAATTGTCAAATGTGGAAATCTTTTGATCCGCCAATACAAGTAAGCAAATATTAAATTTTTTCAATTTAGAACTATATGTATCAGTAATTTGAGAAAATTGTCCAAAAACTTGTATTGATTTTGATGGGAACAAATTTGGCAGTGTAGGGCCAGTAAAAAAAAAATTGTAAATTACATTTCTATATTATAAATTGGAATTTATTTTCGCTGAAGGTATGAATCTGCAAAATACATGAAAATAACCGCCCTTCCCTCTTTTCATGGATTTGCTTGCAATTTACAACACAGGTGAAAAATAAATTACTGTTACATGAGAATATTAATTTTGAATCTGAAAATTTAAATTCCAAGTAAAATAAAGTAACCCAACAGTTAATCAAATTTCTGACCAAATACGTTTATATGTCTGATGTAGAAAATAATATTTCTATTAGAGAACATAAGCGAGTTTGAAAATATGTGAATTATGCACATCTCGATATACGAGGTCAACAAACATTTGTTAAACATGTGCAATTAATACAAATTGTCTGGAAAATAAAGTAGGTCATTTTGTTCTGTACAAAACCAACACCAAATTAACCTAGACAATATCTTGAAATGTATTTGCAAATATTTTTACATACACAGTGCCTCATTGAGTTTTGTATCCCATCTTTGGTATTGATTTTTTTCGTTTCTTTTTTAAGCATTACTAAAGTGCTAACAAAATCTTAACAAATTAACTGTTGAAATTGATTTACACATTAACATTAGGCAACTTTTGTACCAATAATGTATAATTAAGACATGATTGGCAACATTGTTATACTTCATGAATTAAATGTGTGTGAACAAAATAAAAATAAAAAAAAAAATTAAATTGTAACATTTAAACTTAGTTGTCAATTTTCCTACATGTGAAAGTTTCTAAATCATCACAGTACAATTAGATAAAATAAAATTCTGTTTTTAAATCATCCATGGCACATATGTAAATAAAAGCAGGTGGTGACACCATGTCTGTAGGAATCAGGAAGTAAATGGTAAATATGTAAAAGCGACTGTCATGACAGACTTGGTTGTGGCACAACGTTTAATCATAAAAAAAAACAGATATGATTTCAAACAGTCCGCGTTTCTGGCGGGTTAAAGTTTAAATCCGAAATGTGTACGAGTGTCCGTGATGCAACGACTGAATCCAATCGTCAGTGGGTACGAAGTCCTTCAGACTAGGTATCCTTACCAACAACCATTTTACCATGATTGACGTAACACGGCTTGGACAATAAAAGAAACAATGTTCGCAGGAATCCGCGCACACACATACTGTTTGAATAAACATCGCGTACAATATATCCAACAATTATTCTCTTGATCGGCGAATTATATAAACCGTAAGCCGGAGCAACCAGGCGCGATGTCGACGGCGGAGAAAACATCGTAAATATCAGCGAAATTGTGACGTCATGCCAGTGAACACTAAGCGCATGGAAGCCAGTTCGCACTAGGGTAAGGCGGTACGTAGTACGAGTTCACATTCTGTTGGTAGTAAATTTGTCCATTGTGATGAGGGTTGTGATACTGATTATGATGGAGCATTTGCTGATATGTATAATAATTTGGGTGAATGATCTGAGGAGTATACGAATTGTACGCAAAGTTGTTGTTGCATTGAGTTTGTTCCGCCAAGTGAGTGATCAACTTCAGAGTTTGTCGTCGTTCATGACCCATCAAACACACTGTACTTTCGTCCACCACGCCGCGCAGGGTCATCAGATAATTGTACTTGCTCGTCTCTTCGCCGATAAAATGGTTGGCGAGGTAACTTTCCAACTTTTGTTGCTGTTGCTGCAGGTCACTAAAATCAATGAAAAATCTCGAACACATATAACGTTCAAGCGATTTGATTCTATCGTGACTTGACGGATGGTAATCGCGGACAAGCAGGTTGCAGTACTTCAACAGACCGCCTCCGCGAATCTCCTCTGGATTACGGGTCGCAATCAACTTGTTGCGCAGATGATGCAGTGCTTCGTTAAAATCACCGAACACGCTCTCTCCGATGACGGTAGGATAAAAATTCGAGTTCATTGATACTTCAGAATATTCATAAAACAGGAGGAGCTTATCGAGCACAATCTGAAACGAGTCGACGCTAAATTCGAATTGCCGCCTCATCGAGTCCACGAATTTTAACTCTACGTTCTTACCTCTGTTGTTTGTCAGTGATATTAGACTCCATCGATCGTTATCGTTGCACACCTTAACCATTTTCTGTACGTACGCCTCTTTCAAAGTGCAGTGAGCCATTCTATCTTTACTCACTCCTTCGGGTAAGAAGTTCAGCAGGGAGTCCAATACGGCGTTTTTCACCTTTGAGAAAGTCTCCTCCGTCAAGTCGACACCAAAGATTAAATCGAGGTCGTTATACGTCTGATGCTCGGTGCTGAGTATGTAACTTGCAGCTCCTCCATTCAGTCGAACATCCCTCACTTCCACTCCTTCCTCTTTCAGGTTTTTTCGAACAATGTTAACCAGATCTTTCAAGTTAACTTCCAGAGTGGGGAAGTTTCCCCTTCCGTGTACGGGGACAGTATCTTGCAGCACACCGTCAAGGCGTTGGACTTGCTCGTAACTGAGCACTTGGAAGCGCTTAAGCGTATCGGTACTAGCCATGATGTAAGAAGAATTTAGCAGTCAGAGCTACAATGAAAGAAAAACGTCGAAGTTAGAACGAAGCTGGAAAATTAATGTCAGGATGCACTTGCTTGCGAAAGTCGCAAGTGACACAATCAACAGGGTCGAAAACTGCAGATTCTGCAAATTGAGCCCCATCACGGGGGCATGTCAAAAAATCCTCCGCTGACTAACATATTGCTTAATACCGGCGACGGTCTTGTTTCATACTTACTAGAGTGAATCGTCAGGAACAGTGAATAGAATATACTTTCAGATATAATAACACATACTGTCTTAAGAATATTCGATATATGAATTGGAAATACGAGTCGATGGGAACTATATTTATACACCACGGATGGTTCTAGAACTGAGTTGCGCAAAGCCATTGCAATTGTTCTCGACTGACTCGAGGTCGCGATTGGCTGATTGGTTAGAACGGGGGCGTTGTTGTTATGTGATGAATATGTTAATGATTGTGTTATCACTGAATTCATTCTGTCATGATTGACAGCGAACGTCGCTGGCTGCCTACTGTTGCTGTTCGTTTTGTCATACACCCTCCCGCCCAAAACAATTAGTATAGCGTTCTCCGCATTATTGCTCGAGTCATCGGCGTCTACTAGAGCGTATGGCAAAATATGTATATATTAAGCTGGTCAACATGACAACCACTGAGTCGCTCTGAGAATCGCATAGATAAACTAAGAAATATCTCAGTAATAGGTCGAGAAATAGAATAAAAAAAAGTAAAATAATTTCTACATATTTCTCTGGTCGCGTTTTTACGTCATTCATTAAATTAAATTCTATGTCGTTACAAAGTAATTTTAAGCTAAGTGACGTAAACAAAATAAATGTGTTCCCACACAAAATTATTATTTTTTAGGTTCAACACGTCACAGTGTAGCGCGCCTCCACACACGCTTAAATTAAAAAAAATGCGTTTATTTATTGGAACTATTTCGGAGTGTGACGTGTGTTGTTTACAGTTCATCAACGTCATACCCTTGAAGTACAACTCGTGTGACGTCATTCCGTTTTTTTTACTCACTACAGTCATGACGGAAATTTTACGCGTCATCATCCCCCTTAATATACATAACAGAACGGACATCGTGTAATTTCGCCCCCTGAGTATTCTGTTTATCGCCATATGGTACAGAAAAACATGCTTTTATGAGTGAAATTATTATTGTCTATATTATCATTAATAATATACGTATCACGCGGACTGCATTTTGTCCAGTAGTAAATATTATATATACATTACATCGAATGATTGGTTCATGGCTTATTTATGTTATCCCCTCACATACTATCCAAAATATGCACAACATGATGTCAATTAATATTTGTCTCGTTCGCTTATTTTGCTATTTCTCATCGTAAATGCCACCTCCATTTTGTCTTCTTACACTATGACAGTGTCACACCCGGCGGCGTCGTAGGGGAGCTTCAAAAATGCGAGTTACATATGAAATAATTCCGATGTAAATTACAGGTACTGTCGGAAGACATACTTTAGCATAAACCAACGTGAAAAGATAAACAGGTGTCGTCCACACTCATGAGTGCTGTCGTGGGATTATAACAATTATAATATTATTCATGGTTCTTTTGGTAGGAATAATATGCAAAATGCATGATTCTCACATTAACGCAAGTATAGTAGCGATGAAATTATGATAATATATTTTTTTGCAGTGACGTCATACTAGTGATGGCAGCCCACTCCACATACAAGCACATAAAAAGCATGATCCTATTTAGCTGCGTCGAAACATGTGTTTATGAATTGTGTTAATGGAATACGTTAGTTTTTATAGAAGAAGCATTTTCCCCGTGTGGCGGATGCCTGTTTATTAACACAGCTCGACTGGGACGGATTTGAATTCTCTGTCATTACGCATCGAATCTTACATCTGTCACTGTTAAAAAATAACACCAGTTGAATACATCGGCGAGGAAATATAAACTCAAATAACCTCAATCAGTGGTGACCCAATTATGGGAAGCGAATTAGCAAGATTAATTTAGCGAGAAAAACAAACAAATCCGAGATTTAAATAATGCGACCGGATTGGGGATTATTCTCGTATTCAACGAACTCACGTTTTTCGAAATTTGTCTACATATTCGTAAACTTCCATATTGTAGAGTTATTTTTTTTAAACCGACACGTGCACGTGGATAACAAATATTAATATTTTTCATAAACGTGCTGATGACGCAGGATGGAAATGTGACAACATTTTTTTTTATATAATACACAGGCGTGACCAACGCACGTGTTATTACCAGTGGCGTACTGATGATAATATTCAAATGTCCGGCACATATATAATCAGCCTGAGAGGGAACGTTCAGATCGCCATTAAATATACTATACGCCATCTTTTCATAATCTACATATATTAGCGACCGGATAAATAAATGAATGAATAAATAAATTTTCGAATCGCAGCCAGAATCGGAAAGGTACACTATAACGACACCTGTCTGTACAGTAGCTGATACCTCGGAGGTAGTACCAGTGGCAAACCTACAATAGCCGCTTTATAGCGTGTTGTAATTCGAATCACATACAAATAATGTCATTATAATGTGGCTATGACTGCATGGCTTGACACTGGTGAAGGGTATCCTCGGGGGCGGACATCCGGGCATTTTCTACCGCCTGGCAACCCTCGCAGTGAAAACAAAGACCAAAAACTCGCAGAAAACGGTACTTTGCGATGGTTGTTGAGAGTCCCCTGTACAGTGTAACAAGATTAGCCCTACGTGTGTAACATATATGAATTTGGTTGTTCAGGATTACTTCAAAGTTGAGTTTGTGTTGTTTTCTAGATTTTTTACCGGCTCCACCGGCGTTCCACAGCAGCGCGCACAACGCCCTTAGAAATACGTGGTACAATGATGCGCGTCTTAGCAACGTAGAACGTCTGTGACGTAGCTCCGCCCCCGAGGATAATTGAGACAATATATGTTCAAACGGGAACAAGACTTGATGAAAGTGAATTACTTTATTGGTAACAGATATCATTTTATTTATTTTTTACTTTGGATATCACTGACTGAAAACCGCATGTAAAATATGATATCAAGTGAGCTTGTCGACTTGTAATTTATGATCTTACATTTGTCAGACATATAAAAGAAATAGACGAGTCCAATGTGTGCATCATGGATGCGACCTTCCCTCCGTTCTTATCAAATAAATAGCGATATACGGTGTCTGACAATGTGATGTCAATAACCTATGTAAATGTAAATCGACTCAGCGTTGCTATGGAAACAGTAATTGGAGCGCTACTCAGAATGCAGAATATTGCTTCAGTGCAGCGCACGAGGATATGTTAACATATGTTTTGCTCACATACATAACAGTTGTGTGTCTCTCTAATTCGTGGAAACACACATAGTTGTGTTGAAGGTGACAATTCATTTAATAGTTAGTAATTTATAACCATGTGCATATATTTAGCAAATCTAAAGCCAAGATAACGGATAAACTTTAATCATAAAATCAAATGTCGGGAAACCTCATACATCAACGTCCTTTGTTAGCTCAATTGTTTGTTCATAGATCACCCGAGACATGGGACCTGCAAACTTATTACAAAAAAACATCCAGAATTTATTTTTGCTCGAGTTGAACAACTGTGTTCAGTTGTGCTATTTTCTACTGTATTTTCTGTTTAATTTGTTTAATTTTTCAAGCTTTTACTTTTTCAGACTGTCCCTCGACCTCTGTTTTTCGAGAGTGGAAAACGGGTAGATACTACCTCAAACATTCCTATACAGGTTATACGTCGAAATCTGTCCCGTGGTTATACCATAACGACGGTTTCAAATGGCGACGATATCTGCGTTAGAGAGCACCCACGCCACAGGCGATTATGGTACGGTTTACTTGAAATGATGTTGGGTTAATTATCGATGACAACCACAGTTCCTCTATTCTCTAAGGGACTGTCATGAGAACAAACATATGGTAGAATAAAACGGTCTGTACTTCGCCGATCTTGCGAGTTGTGTGTGGGCGAAGAGTGGACATGCAGTAATTTCCGCAGACTTATAAGCCTCCCACATAATACAATGCAATCTTTTAAAATAAATAATGTGCAAATAATGTGTACAATTGTTCGCGTTATTCCGCATCAGTCGTCGAGTGTGGGCGTCACAAATCGAAGTCATCACTTGTTTTCAATTGGGTGAAAAGGTGTACAATGTATTCCATCGGCGGGCGCCGCCAACGGCAACAAAGGTTTATTTTCACATTACACTCAACACAATAATAATTGCAATAATTTAGTATATATTGAGGGCGCTGTTTTAAGTAGTCGTCAGACACTTCAAGCATTTATAGTTCATGTGATCATTTTAATGATAATTTTAATAATTTAGGTTAGCTAGAATAACTGATTCGAATTGTCGCCATTATGTTAATATTTGATAACGCAATTCGCGAACAAATGTAAGTTATGCCAAGACATCGGGTTGATAAATAAATAAATAACAATGGCTGTTGTTAACACAATATCAATAAACGTTGACGTCAGTGTTACTTACAGTGTTTTCTTTCTTTTTTATTTGCTTATTTCCATTAAAGTGATTACAATACTTGATTTTCCACTGAGTAAGTGTCTGAATGGATGAATGAATGTCTCGGGTTTATATTTCCACACTCGCGACGTGTATTCGGGAATTTCCTATTTGCGCGGTTTTACCCTGTGTGACAACCTTTCGACAGAGGGCGCACTGTACTGTGATGTCAGGCAATGTCATGGCATGAAATACGTCTGCGTTTCCCTGTATATGTTAAAATGTAGCAGGTGCATTGTATTCATTCATGATTTGAGCATTTTTCAGGTTTAATCAACTTAAGTGAGAATGGTCACGTGAACTATTTACGGTATGTTTATTTTCAAATCACTGACCCACTTCGCTCAGTTATGGCAACGTTTTTAGCTTTACACTTTTTTTGTACTTTCTTTTTTTTTCTTGTACAGTGGACTAATGTATGCATCAAAATATGGAAACACTAGAGCAAGTAACATTAGCAACCATTATCCATTAAATAGTTCGTCTCAATTACTGGTAATTTTGTAACAACGTTATGATTTCAAATTATTCAAATTTATCCCGTAAAATCACACGTTTAAGCTTGATTTAGGTTCCTTAAAAATGTCTAGTTTGAAAAATGTTAATTTATATGTTTAAATTGAAAAAAAAACTTTCCTGCATTGCTACTGCTGGCGCCAATCTAACGGCTACCAAT